GTTCAGTGGTTGCCATCGGCATCCCGTTAAAGTATGTAAGTGCGTAGGAACCCCTTGATTTTACTCCTTCCGTCTCATTTCATGTAACTGGAAAAAATAACTTTTGAAACTTGTAGAATGGCTATAGGACGTTTGTGACTTTTTGTTATATACATTCATAACATGTGTATATGGCTATCAAAGTTTGTCATTAGGGGTAAAAAAAAGTTCAGGTTAAATTGTTTCCAAAGGGTCATTCTTTTTCGAACAACCTTAAAGTAAATAGGGTCACATAAACTGGAATGAAGAGAGTAATTAAAAAGAGAAATGTAAGAAGAAATGCTTGTGATCTGGGAGTACTTTTTCTTTTAAACTAATGTCTCCCATTTTCTTGGTTTGAAAAACTAAGATTAGTCTTTTTTGCCTCTATTGTACAGATATTTATGTTGGCTGTTTAAAAGTGAATGGTTGAAACAGTGATTAGTCGTTGTATGTGGTTATCTGGCTGAAACAAGATTAACTGCATTGTTTATTTTGGGTTTTTTGTTTCTTGGAAATTGAATTTGATTGGATGGAGAAAGCTGGAATGCAGGATTGGGATTTAATGTATGATTTTTGTCGTCTAAATAGAAAGAAGAAGAAGTATGATAGGGAAGGTACTGGGCTTGGGGATCATAAAACACTGGAAAGATGTGTTCTTGTGGATCAAGATAATGCCGGGTTATCAACAAAGGAGGCTGACGCGGGAGCTGCCTATGATAGGGAGAATTCTAGTTGTAGTGATGTTGAAGCTGACCCGCAATATATGACTTTCTTGGCTAACACTAAGCCAGATGGAACGTCATATGTTCTTAAAGCTAGTGATCAGAATGGGTTGCCCGTGTCCCTGAAGTATGAGAAAGAGGACGGATCTGATGATGAGCACGAATATGATTGTCAGAGGAACCTAACAAATGATAGGGAGTGGGAGATTCATGGAGTTGGAAAGGATCAGGATAGTGTTAGGGAAAAGTACAAATTAGGGAGTTCAAAATCTCTAGACACTTACGCGAGAAAGAATAGGAATACCTCCGTAGTTGAGAAGCATAAGATGAAAGATGGGATCTTGAGTCAGAGGCAAAGGAGGGAAGATAGGGACTTAGGTAACAGAAAGCACAGTACTGATGTGAAGATTGTACCTGGTAAGGAGCAGAAGACACAGAATGGTGGCAAATTCATGGACGTGAGAGTAAAGACAGAACCAAAAGAAGATTCTGATTGTAAGATTTATTTGATTCTCGCAAGAAAACCTGTTTACGAAGATTGCTGTCTCAAATCTTCATTTGGAAATAATTGTTATTTGGTTTATGAAGCTCTCAAGGAGGAGATCCCCCAAAGTGAAGTAGAAATTGTTCAGAACGTTGATGCAGAGTTAGGCATGGGCAGTAGCTCTAACCCCTTTGTATTTTCTGTGGAACATAGCGAGAATGTACTATTTCAATTCTTCTTCTACTTTCACTAGTTATCTTGGTCCCTCTTCCCCTTCCTTTTATGTTACCTCTTAGTTTTATTTCTGCATGATAACTCTTGTTGCATTGGCTTCTAATTTTGTGTATCAAGCTGGAGGATCCCAGTCAGCCTATCAGCAACCCAAATGCGTCAATTATAGATTCTGGCTACAGGAAGGAGGTTCTGAATTTATTGATGAGGCCCTATGATGATGAGGAGTATCAGAAGCTTTGGAAAGATATTAAGATGCCATGTAGCTCAATAAATAGACGTGGAACATCCCTTCTATCACTCCATAAAGGTAGGTTAACAACCTTAAGTTTGTTTTCCAGCACTGCAGCATCCCTTTGCATTTTGAATGCTTCTCTGCGTGTTTGAATTTTTCTCAGGCCATGCCTTGGTTTCAAACTTTATGTAGTTACCTTTAAGATAGTATCCAATTCAATAGAACTCATGCTTTCTCACTTTAGAGAATTTAAGAATAGTTCCTTGTCTTCTTCTTTCGCCTCAAAATGGACTGAATTTGCTAGCAAATGTTTACCCATCTGATTGAAAAAATGTTTGACTTCTTCTTTATTATTAGTCATCTCAGGGCGACTCTAAACCTCCCAAAAAGGGGGGAAATGAAAAAAAAGTTGTGGGCGGAGTATATGGTAAATGATAGAAGCAATGTCGTCTCTGGTCTAGGCAGTTAAAGGGAGAAAAAAAGATGGAACAACTGCAACTGTTTTAGAATTTTTAAAAAAAGTGGAAAGGTTTCATCTTGCTTTTCTCTTAAATTATCTTGAGCTTTTTGTATGCAAAAGTAATTCAAGTTCTGAACCTTTTGCTTAAAGATAGGCATAGGCCGCTTTTAATGTTATCTTCGTTCTCTTTCCATTTTCATGTTGCTTGTGGTAGAATATGTTCTCCTTTAGTTTTCTACACTTTTATACTTCGTCTCATGTTTATCATTTTACTTCCACTAGGTGTGGAAGAGTAGAGTTGTTTTCACAGTGGTTCCAGAAGAAAAAGAACAAGAAAGATCAATGTTACCCTTTTAAATTGATTCAAAATTTCATATGAATGAGGCATGAATAATGTAACTTTTAATACAGTATAATATTTACACCCAGAGAAATGTCAATGGAAAGAATAGTCATGTAGGGCAAGTGACCTTATAAAAAAAGGTCACGTAAGGCAAGTGGACGAGTTGCGACTCCCTGGCAGGGAACTAGGAAAACATTTCTAGGAAGGAATAACTGTTTTCGACATCTGAAAACCCACACTGAGAAACTGCAGACAGAACTTGCCAAATATTTTTGAGGTCATCGATAATCAAAATAGTATCTCGTTCTGTCTTATTTGTTCTCCTTTCGTTTTTGAGATGAAAGTGTTCACTGCCAAAAGTCAAAACAAATTAACTCTAATATTTCACATGATTCCTTCATCTTAACATGCATGCCTTATATGAGCTTGTTTTGGAAAATCACTCTGACGGGTAAATTGATGAAGACACATCTTTTCTCTAGTGTTCTTCAGCTGAATGAATCGAGGCGAGGGAGAACAAATAAAATGGATAAGTATACTAGTTATCAGGTGTTTGCCTCCCTTTTGTTGAGGGGAGTGCAGATGTTAACTATACGCATCTGATTTACAATAAGTGAGACTTTCTGCTAGTTAAAATGTACATAATTATATTTTTAACTTAACAACAAAAATTCATTAACTATGCTTGTCAGTGATCTGGAACAAAATCTGTTTTGACTGGAGTCCTCGGTCGAGGAGTCAACTAACTTATAGTACTAGAGCTGAATGTAATATGCATACTCCACCTAATAGTTAGAGATATGAAGCTGTTCTAATATTTTACTCATATAAGGCTGCTTATGCATGAAAGTTAATGCCTATCCAGTTTTGGCGACTTCACCCTCCTTAGCTGCTTCCCCTTGCTTGGTTTGGTAATTAACATTTTCATGCACTTTCCTTTTAGCAACTCTTGCCAAGCCTTCAGAGTTGATGAGATATCCCTTCAATAAAATTCTGAAACTCCTTAAAGTTCTCCTTTGTAGTAATCTCTCAATGGTTTCTATCACCTTATTTATTACCTGTTACCTCCACATATTGGGTACATTTAGTATTACTAAATTACGTCCTAGAACCTAGCTATGTACTTCTTGCTGCAGGGTGATTTCATGGTAGAGATAGGAAAGAAATCATAATTTAGATTGGGTGTTAGGATCTTATACTATTTTTAAGCTTTTGTTGGTTTCGTTTATTTGTTTAGGCTAGGGTTTAAGTTAGGAGCCTGTTCAGCTTAAAGTAGGAGCATTTTAGGTATTTTGGATATATTTGCTGTTAATGGCCACAATTAGGTTTTCTGGTTTGCTTTTGGAGTTACAGTATGTTTTAGAAGAGAAAAACCGCCATTTGCAGATTCTATTTATTTCTCTTGGCATCTTGATTTAATTGAAATGAAAATTAAAAAAGGAAATCTCTAGATACAAAAGTTGTACATACCATATGAAAAATAGTAGACAAAGTGACATTCTTTACAAAGAGCAATGATGCTATATCCTAACAATCTATCTTACCAGGAATCTCATAGGTGCTCCAAAACATGTACAAAAAAGAAAAAGGTCTCCCGAAGTTGTGTATGGAAACTGGTTGTTTCTTACGTATATGCTTTCACTGTTCCTATTAAAAAAACATATATTCCTTCACCGTGATTGATAAGAAAGCATTTTGGAATCCTAAAGTTGGTTGCTACTCCATGACTGGAGAAGTCACTTTACAGAAAAACAGATATTTTGAACTTTAATGGATATAGCCTGCGAGTGGCAGCCCTAGAGCAAGAAGTGAAGAACTTGCGAAGAAAGCAAACGTAGCATGATATAAGGATGAAGATTCAAAGGCACTATAGTTGCACAAGTTTTTCCCTCCGCAAGGTTTTTTATTTCTTTCCACCGATCCGAGAAGTTTTTTCTTTTCTTATCCCTGTGCAGGTTCGAATACCAAAATTAGCATACATTTACAGGAAAAGGAGAGACTTGAACTTTAGTGGATCTAGTCCAGCAGGTGGAAGCTTTAGTGTACAAAGTGCAGAACCTATGAAGGAATCAAATGTACTATGGACTAATATGACAAGGACAACAATTTAGGGCACTATTGTTGCACAAAATTTTCACTGTGCAGGTTCAAAATCAAAATTAGTATACTTAAGCAGCTAAGAAGATTTAAAAGATCTTCTAATAGATACTTATATAAAAAAAAAAGATCTTCTAATAGATGTTCTCCAAGATCTACGCAAACAACTCCACCTCAATCTCAAGCTATTTGGGGTGGGCTATACCAATCCTTGCTATCCACTCCAATATTCAATAGTTTGTGATTCCTTAGTGCTAGAGGTTCTCTTCATTTTCTACTGACATGCAATATCTACCAAAAAGTTTCCTAGTAATCACTGGACCCAATGCAAGTGTACCAACATGACTAAACCTCAAACCTTAATCTCCACAAGTTGGGATTGCTAATATGGATGGATCTTTTGATTCCATTTTGTACTATTTTTTGCCTGGTTTGCATGGATTCTAAGAGATTTTAGGGTTTTTGAGATAATTTCATTTCATGTGACTCTAGGCCTACCTCATCCGAACACCTTTAGTCATCATGATTTCACACCTACTGAAATCATCTTATCCTCTATGTGCTTGCTTCTATCTACTTCTAATGTGATATTTCTCGTCTTATATTGTGCAGTTGTGCATCACTCATTTTGTGGATGTTTTGGTTTAGAGGCCCAACGTTCACTCCTATATAATATTACTGGTCTTAAAACCATTTTATAGCATAATACCCCTGAGTGCTCCTCCATTTAAACCATCCTATCTCATTCATCAACGATGCTAGTGTCACATGATTCCAACCAATCCAAAAGGTATGGCCAAGTCCAAGGTGAGCACGGCCATCATAAAGAATTGGGAAATCGGTGAATTTAACTGTTTGGTTGGATTATTTAACAGTTAAAACTTTCACTGATGGCTAGAGACGTATGGAAATGGGAAGGCAGAAGGATGGCTTTTACTGTAAAATTGTTTTTTAATAGGTTAATGCAAAGGGAGAACAGGAATTTCTCACTCCTCAATTTAGCTGTCTAGGCACCAAGAGAAGTGACCTTTATTGTTAGGACAGTTGCATAGTGAACCATGCTGAGAACTTTAAAAATAAAGGAAAATTTGCATTAGCTGGTCTTTTATGTGCAATAGGGCTGTGAACATGTCAATCGTCTGAGACTTCACTGCCTAATGATGTAAGATTGTGACATAGTGTGGAATGCGTTTGGGGCAGAATAGGTGAGTGTTAGGAATTATTTGAGATTTGTCACTACAGTGGGACTTCTGGAGTAAGAGGAGGAGAAAGAGACACGGGAGACAGCTCATTTGACGCTGATGTGGACCATGTAGAAAAACAAAAAGGCATTTAAGGGAGTTGAAAACTCTTTCCAACAAAGTGTACACTTATTTTCTGTCCACTTTGAAGAGCATTTGATATTTTAGTAAGTAGTGATGACAGGATGTTGCTTGATTTTATGTAAGATTTTCTACTATTTTGTAAAGTAAACAACTATTATGTGGGAATTTATCTTACTATGTTAATAAATTAAATCCTCATTAAAAAGAAGGTGGAGAGTCTACTTGAAAAGGGAAGAAAAAGGGATATGGAAACTTGTTTGAAATTCCTAATGATCAAGGAAAACAATGATAAATCAAGTAAGGATGCAGTGGGATTGCACAACAGAGATGGGTAATTAGGGATTGCTTGTACGTAATTCAGGTTGGTTTTATGTAACTTTAGATTAGTTTAAGCTTTAGCATTTGTGTTATGTTACAAGCCTTTTCAATTTAAATTGGGGTATTTTGGGAAGTATATTAGTCTTTAAAACACAAGATTAGGGTTCCCAATTAGATTTCGGTAGTTTTGTTTTAGAAGAGAAGAAACTAAAGTTTGTTTGCTTGTTTAGTTGAATTTCTCTCTAGTTTCTACTTCCATATTTGCTATTGATATTGCTAGTTCTGATATTTGCTGCGCCAGTTCGTATCCCAAGTCAGTCATGTGATTGTCATATCAACAACGAATTTCCAATATATTTTCATTGTAAAAATGCAGGTGTCAATCGAGAAATCAAAAGGACCAATCATGACAAAGATAAAAAGTTGAATATTATGCGTGGGTTTTTCTTTTGGTTAGAGGTGAGGGCTACCTCTTCTTGGATGTCCTTGGTAAAGAACAGTAACAATTTTTCTTTCTCTCCATCCCCTTTCATCTGTCTTTTGTCTTTTTCTTCATTTTATTGTTGCAATCTTGCAGGTAAACTTATATTTAAGAAATTAGACATTTAATTTTTCTCTTAGCATGGGAAGTGTCTATTAGTGTGGAAATGCAGCAAATTGCATATACAACAACAACTATTACTACATGTCAGTCCTAGTACTACGTGTCAGCTATATGAATTCTCACAATAATTGATTGTGATATTAAACTCATATATATGTTTCCAATAAGTAGGTGGAATATGGCAATGAGCCAAAAGAGGTATGAAGCTAAGAAACTGTTAGATGGAAAAGAATGTACTCGGCAATCGGTCTTGATGATTTATAACTGTTAGAATAATCTGCAAAGATATCCTTTTCATAGCAAATTTTGTGGTGTAAGCGAAAGCAAGGACCTTCCTCATCAGAGGGATTGTTACAAAAGGTGATCACGTGCTTAAAATCTTAGATACACCAACAATTTTCTTTACTTTTGACAAAAGAAATTGGTAATCCTCAAAGAGTTGAGGGAACTTTGTCTTATCTACACTGCAACTTATTGCAGCTTCCTACTTGTTTATGATGTTATAGATTGGGTATTGCAGGTCTTTAATATGACCAGAATATGTAAACATAACAAGAATCTATACCTTGTTAATTTGGATACATATAATTGTGTAATTAGGAAATTTATAGGCTCTAATCACATGTTTTCCTTTTTTTTGGATTACTTGTAAACATTAGCTTGTCTAGATTATGATAGCTCTACAGTTATTGGTAAGCCCTTACTTTCTCATGAGATGTACAGAAGAAACGAGAGCTGTCTATGTAGTCCTGAGCAGAAGTCCATGCCCAAGATCAAAGTACCCCATAAGTTGCAGATAAGGATCATTCATTGCTCAATGTTGCATCATGAATAAAAACAAATACATTCAAGTTATATCCACTGAGAGTGTAAAGAAGTCTTGCACTGTCAGTCGTAATTAACCTATTATAGCAGGTTACATACCATTTATTTTTTATCACGAATCAATGCTTATTAAATAGAGTTACCTGCAATCGCCTTTTAAATGACCTGATTTTGTAAATCTTTTTATGCCTTTAGTACATAGACCTTATTGCATGAAAAAGGAGGTAAGCCTGTAAGGTAATGATGGAAAAAGAGAGATTAGCTTCTAGGACCAAGTTAGTATAGTAGTTAATGACCAGCATCCAGAAAGGAGAGGGACCTTACAAATCCATGTTTTCCCTTCCAAAGATTGACTTCAATGAAGGCTCCCTTTCTTTCAGTGTGTAAGGGGATCCTTGCAGTTACCATACATGCAGATCTCCTCACACCCAGTCCCTAATGGAAAACACAGTAGAAAGTACCCTTTTCCCACCAAACCACTTGCCTCTCAAAATTCCTCGAATCAATGGTTGTTGTTGTCCTATCAGACGTTTTGCCTCTAAATTATGAAGTGCTGCATTTTGACCTCAAAAAACCATGAAAAACTACTCGACTTGCTCAAATTTACTTTTTGGACTCCAAAATTTCAAGGATCAATTAGGATGACTGATCTAATCTCTAAGTCTGTTTCATTGTCAAAGTTTTGATGTCTATATGAGGTTTGAGCCAATAGGAGTTTGGTAGTTATAAATATGGACCAACGGAACGAGAACAAGGACCAAGGGAGTATTATGGGCTCATCGCAAATAATGGCATGACATTTTCACATTCATTATTATCTTTTACATTCTTACTCATTCTGCAAGAAGCTAGTGACTTATACTAAAATTACATTTGTTTCAATATCTCCAGCATCTAACTCGGGAAGATGCGTTCATGCCTTGGGAGGATGCAGAATGTCTCCGAACAATGCCTGGATCTTCCTAGAAGTTGTTGTTACTTTTTCCCATTCATCAATACCGCCGTGTGCCATAAAACAAAGCGATAGAAGAAGAGAATCAAAGGTTGCTATTTCAATTACTAGCGGAGGACAATTTTGCTGTGCATTATCTTTGTGGGATAAGTGTTGAAGACAGACAGAGAGAAGATCATATACATACTTAGAAGAGAAGGTGAAACTTTCATTTACATTCTTAAAACTTGGTTCTGCTACTCATTGTTTCAATATAGTCAACATTGTTACCTGAATTTACTGGTTTGCATCTTCCATTTGGCCATTGTAATTGAACCCAACTCTTGGTTTCCCCATGCTGAAGTTAAGAACTTTTGCATTCATGTTGTATTGGATTTCTCCAGTATATAGAAGCTTTCTTATGTAGTGCTCTATGTCTGAACCGATCAGGCGAAGCGTGTATTCCGTCAATGGAGCTCCCTGGTCCAGAGTGAAACATTGTAGTTAGCATCTCAATTTGGTAAACAAAGTGATTACATAAAAGCATTTAAGTTTTAGAATTTACGCTTTAGTAGTACTCTTATCAAGTCTTTTATTGCGAATTTCTTACTAAAAAATGCAACACTGCTTTTGTAAAAGAAATATTGTGTCTCTCTTCTGGAGTCTTGCTGTTACATAATGCAGCAAAGACGTAGGTTAAGGCACAAAAATATAGAGGAAGAAGAAGACGATACAAGTCTGTGGCTCAACAAGAAGATAGCGTAAGACAGTATTGAGTGGATAAGATGTCTTTGAATTAATTTTCCAAATAGCGTAAAGTATATGAGTCAATATTTCGCTGTTTTTGAATAAAGAGTCAACTCTCTGAAAAGTAACCGTGTTTATAGGAAAAGTTTCAAATTAGAAAAACGGCAATAAATGAAGAAAATTTACCTCATAGTAAACATGTTCTTGAAAATTGAGCTTTAATTGTTTTGATTAAAACTCTGAAAATTATTAATGGCTCATTAACACGAAAAGTTCCATTAAATATTCCCATAAAAACAAATATACGGAACAAAAATAGTACTCCCTCCGGTTCACAATAAATAATCAGTTTACTTTTTCATTTTGGTTCAAAATAAGTGTCTAGTTAGGTAATCAAGAAAAAATTCAATTTGTTTTTACTCTTTTATCCTTATGTGCATAGCCCTAAAAAGTTCTCACTCCTCACTATAATTATGTGACCAATATTTAATAAGGGTAGTTTAGTCATACTAGGTATTTTTGTATAGGATTTAGCATTTTCTTAATTGGCGTGCTAAAAGTAATCTGGTCACTTATTGTGAACCGAAGGGAGTATTAGAATTGAGTATAACTTCTATACACTTTTTTTTGTTGATGATCGAGAAATTCGTTTGGGGCCGATCCTTTGGACCAACCGCAGCCTTCGAAACTCGGAGGATAATGGGCCCGCCCCTCTTCCCTTCTCCACTTAAATACCAGGCTTTACTTTGCATGATATGTGGGCTTGAACCTGTGACCTAAGACACAAATCCACCACCCTTTGCCACTTGAGCTAGGCCCTGGGGGCAACTTCTATACACTCAAATCACTTAAAAGATAATTATATGTAATTGTTCACAAAAAGAGCATTTAGTAACCTACAAAATAATTTACCTGCAAATTAACAACAGGCTAAAATATTGTAATAATGTAGAAGAATTTACACTATCAGTATATATATAAGTAAGTCCATTAAAATTTGTAAAAAGGATACACTTTTCAAAAGGAGAAAGTACCTCATAATGATCAACAAGTTCTTGGAAGTAAGAGTAGACCTTGGTGCAAGTATCATCAGTCCAGACAAATTCATCAGTAGGGTCAAGGATAAGTGTAAGTTTATCCATTTGTGTTTGGTCAAAAGCAAAAGTTTCAGGATCAATATAAGCTGCATATATTCTAACATGTCTAGTAGCAGAACTTAGCCACTGTCCTCCATATTCTCTGCTCATGTTCTTGCTCTTCACATTTATCTGTGGTTCCACTGGTCTTGGCTGTTTCATTGCTTCTTCTTCTTCTTTCTTTTCTTCATCTTTTTCTACTTTTAGTTCTTCAACTTCTGCTTGCTGTGCTGAAACTGAGAAAAAGTTTCTTCTTTTGAATTGTTTGTTTCCCTTTGTTGTCCAATAACCTAACATGCTGAAATGAGTTGAAGCCATGTGTGTTGAAGTTGCTGCCATGGCTAAGGTCTTTTTTTTTTTCCCTTTCTATTGGGGTCCTTTTTTATTCTAGTTGCTTTGTTTTCTGTGATTTTTATGTTTTTTTCTCGAGTGTTGGTATTAGGATATTGATATGTTCTCATTTTTGTGTGGATAAGAAATGCTTGTTTGCACGTTGGGTTTTTCTTTTGGTTCTGTGGCTGTATTTAATATGGAGATAAAAGGTGAAGTACAAGTTCCTCTATTTTGTACTTACCTTGCAGCTCCAGATTCTTTATTTACGCTGTTTGAACTTTGAAGGTTTGGTTAGTGAGTAATATAAAAGCGCATGAAAAATAAGTATGGGAATTCAATTTACTTGGGTTCTTGAGAATTGTAGTCTGAGAACATTGAAAGGTAAAAGAACTGAAAGCAAAACCATCCGATGAGAGATTTATATCAAATATTTCATTGCCTTTAATTTTTTATCACAAACATTTTCTCTCGTTATCTCGCACATAACACACTTTGCGATACAAAATATTGCCTAATCCTAAGACCTATACCTAAGTAATTAACTAAAAACCTAAAGTTTGAAAACAAAAAAAATTGCTCTGCGCTAGCAGAACACTACAATAAACCTAACTACATGACTTCATTTACAACACTGAGACTCCTCCGATACATAGCTTGCAGCCATATCACTAGGGCTATCTATGAATGGAGATGAATCTACAGATCTATTCCTATTTATCAGCTTCATGGGTTTAATAAGCTCATCAAGATCATCTAGTTGCATCTCTGCAGAACCACTTTCGCAAAGTGGCGGTTCCTCACTTCTCTGGTCAATAGTCAGTTCCTCTTCATCACTGCCATCTAGGCTAATAAAATCAACAAACTTCCCCTTCTTAAGGAATATGTCGTCTTTCCCCCTAACAGAAGTTTTCTCCAATCCAGCTGTTATGCGCTCACTACTGTCTATGTGCGGAGAGCCAAAATAACGACCTCGACCATTCTTCATCTCGCTGGAAGCTTTCCTCTTCACACCCTTCCTTTTGTTTTTCGGATGGTGAAGCTTGCATTTCGAACCTTGGGGACAGTTGCCAGTTGCTTCAAAAACGGGGCAGACATAGGTGTGTTTCTTCCGACACTGCATGTTTAGAAACAGAAACATGATCCGTTTCACAAGTTTCAAGATTAGTGGGGTCGTGTGTTTGGGATGATCCACATATCTATTGTGCAGAAAATATACTATCAACGATGAGCTAGTTGCATTCAGACCAACAGAGGGGGAGGGAGGAAGCAGAAAAAGAGGTGGACATAATAAGTCAAAACATTTGGTAAGAATCATGTCAGGCAGTAAAAAATAGTCATATCAAGGAGCCATTTCAAAAAAGAATGACAAGAAAGGATCGGGAAGGATCCACCCAACTACTACATTCCGAGGGGAGGTGCGGAGACTAGGCTCGTTACATCTTAAACAAGTTAGGGATAGGGACTAGCTAAGATCTAGGAACCAATCAAACATAAAAACTGGGTAAAGAATATAAACTTCAGAAGACCTTTGCTTGAGCATCCAGACACTGCTTGTAACTAAATTATTTCTACGTGGCACCTGGCATAAATTGGCTGTGAGCTACTATTAAAGAGCTTATCTAAGTCGAATTTCAATCCTTTGAGATGTGTATCATACAGTTGGTACTGATTCATTTGGAAGCAGCAAACTGAAAACAAAGAATACCTCATTGCCATCAGCACAATAGCCCCTGAGAAAACCTTCACAAATAGAGGCATTTGAATTCACATTTACGTGTCTATATGGACAATTCTCATTTGAGCATATTCCTGCCCAAAAAAATACACAGTGTTCTCACATTTCTTTAGATTAAACTGAATTAAAATATAATAACACCCATAAATGTAATAGCACTGACCTTGCAGAAAATAGGAGCAGTCTTGCATTCTTTCAGGAAGAACCTAATATATGAAGTGAAAACAAGTAAAAAGGCAAAAACTAATCATGCTGCAACCACATCAATTATAGGGTTTAAGAAGTAACGTACCTCATGAGTCAATTTACAATTAGTGTCAGAGCAAGAACCATTCAGAAATTTAGTGCAGACAGCGATTTTAGATGGATCATGAATGTATGGACATTTTCCATTATCCTTGTTACACTTGCCAAACCTTGTGAAAAACTGGCAATACTGTTTTTTTCTTGCCAACCGAATTCTAGCAGTGTGCAAACTCCAGCGTACTTTCTCACTCGCTAACATGCGTACTCGTCTCTTTGGGTTTCTAACCAGCTTATTACCATTGCCAACCCGCACATACCTACAAGCAGTTTCGAGCATTTATATTATTTGTTTACAAGTGAAGGCAAAGTTTTATTCACAGTAAGGATTTATATTATCTTATTTTCATCTCTTGGAAGCAAGACCATAGTTTTTTAAATAATTCTTTTCCTATTGGCCTTACTTTTGGAGTACTCCTATTTTTTCCGGATTATATAAAATCCAATAGAAAAGATTACGATATGAAGCAACACGCTTAAGTACCAAGAATTACAGACTGCTCATGATTTCTGGAAGCAATGTGATTTCAAAATAAAGTTATGCAAATGAATAACAGCTATACCTATAAAAAAAATATTAACTCAATGCCTGAAGATTAACCAGCACTAGGTACATCATCGATAATGAATTGAAAAATAATAGTATTTATACGTACTCATCATTCCCAATTAATAATCTTTTGGGGATGTAAGATTTCTTCGCCTCAGGAACAACTGACACCGATGGTTCCTCATCTGTCCATAAAACATGGAGAAATTTATGAGGTCAAGTTACAAATAATATCAAGAGACAGTTACA